TTTGCATTTGCCCATTAAAATTTTTGATTTTCTATTAAAATTTGCTCACTGGTAGGTTATGGCCTGTGCTTTTAGTTACTTTGAGTTACGTCAGTGCCGACCGAAATTAGGCAAGTTAAAGAGACTTTTGAATGAACTACCATATAAGGGAGAGCTACAGGATAGGAGTGAAGATAAAGATGGGAAAACAAGAGTAAACAATACTATGAAAACTTCCCGTCAGATTAATACCCCACCCTCCCTTTATCTCTTCACCTTTCTCTCTCCCTCCCCTTTCTATCTTTTTGTCTCCAATCCTTTTCTCTCTTCTCTCTCTCTCTCTCCCATTACAGTACACTTATAATGATTTATTAGATAAGGTACAAGCAAGTGAAGAAGAACTCAAGGCTGGTCTCAAACAATTACAAGCTTGTCTTGTTGATGGTAATACAATCAGCTTCACTTTAAATTTAAGCATTCTAATTTGAATTTTAAAACTTTTTTCAATTTCAAATCGATACGCTTCAAATTCAATTTTAAATTTTTAAACTTCTTTATGCATACATTTAATTTCAAATCGATAGGCTATTGGAGAGTGTTTCACTTAGATTATCGTGATCAAGTATTCCAGAGTATACTAACATTGCTGGAGGAAGAGGACTGGTCATGGAAGTCCATACCTCTTCAGGAGACGTGTCAGAAATTAGAGGAACTTGAGCCTCCATTTGTACTAGAGCATGTTCTTGATTGTTATGGGGTAGCCTTCACTGGAGATGAGGGAGAGAAGAGATATGGGCTAGAGGAGGATAAAGTGTGTCAGTTTTGTGCTGAACTGTTTCTAAGACAATCAGGAAAAGTAATAAATAAATAAAATGATAATATAAGATTTTTATATACATGTACACATGGATGAACATGTATATGTGCATAAGTAGATGAGTAATGTATAGATACATAATAGTTATTGTAATTATGCTTGTATATACTGCATGCATTTAGTTTAATTATGAGGAGTTTATGGAGTCATGGCCTTCATCAGTTCCGTTAGGAATGACTACATCATTAGACCAACTGAAGGTATACAAGCAATCCTATATGCTACACTATAAGAATAATACTGGTAATGTGTTGTAGAGTTTGGCATTGACTGATTTGAATTCAGTTCCAGCTGTCATATGGTATTTCCCAGCAACTGACTTACCCGAAGACCCAGCTGCAAGGTAAGGTAATTATTAGTTATTATTTTATTGAATTATATTTTATAAAGGTTTTCAAAATTATTCAGTGTAAAAGAAAAGTGGGCGTATGATGAAATGCATCCTTACATTAGGTACTGGCATATTAGACTTATTTATAAATTATTTTTATTTTTATTTTTCAATAGTGATTTAGAGTCACCAGGTCAGTCCCTCAATGGTCTGTTATTGAAGTATTCAAGAGTGTCTGTGTCTCAAGGGAAGAAAACTTATAGTGCTAAACTAACTGCACTATAATTTGAACAATAATAGTCACACAATGATGGCATTAATAAAAACTTGTTAGACTATGCTGTCGTTATGCATTGAAGACACCCATTTTAATGCTCATGTGAGATTTGTACGCTCTTTAATATTAAGCCTAATACACAATATGAGCATTGCGACTAGAAACCAATGGCATGTGTGTCAATAGTGCAAGAGTTAAACTTTGGTCAATTCATGCATTGATTGACTTACTACATTTATATAGCACTTCTGGAAGTGCAACACATGATATTGTGTACTAAGCTTTAATTTATACTGTCCATAAAAGTACTGCGCCACTAGGGTAATACACCCACATGAAGAAAGCCTCTAATGATCCAAATCATCCATTATTAATGTCTATAAAGTTACACACAAACTAGGGGCTTGACAAACTAAACAAAATTAAGGACATACAACTGGCAAAATAGCAAAAATTAATTTATTTTGTTTAATAGGTCTAGTTATTCTTCTTCATTCTTGCTTCTTCATTCTTTTCTTTTGCATAACCCACGCCTGCACCTATTGCTGCACCAATAGCTACTCCACTAAACAAACTGCCGAACGCTACACCAATTGCAGCACCAAGTGCAGTCCCAACTACCGGTATAGCACCTGTACCAATCAAAGCACCAACTGTTGCACCAGCTACAGCTCCTCCTGCACCTCCTACGCTACCTCCAATCAAAGTGTCTTTCACCACATGCTTTCTCACGTAAGTGATAAATATTGCTGCCTCTGGCTTGCATTGCTTTTCACATGTCTCCCATAACTTATCGATCCACATGCCTGTGGGTAGCTCATCTTCTTCAGCACTTGTAATGCAATATGGAATATTATCAGCTATTTCTTTTTTAATAGGTTGACCTTCAGATTTTAGGTTTTTTGTGATTTCCTCTTTGATTTCTTGTGCACGATCCATCATTTTTTCCGCAATCTCATTCTTTGGCAAATTTTTGGGCTTGCATTTTATTGCATATTCATCTCCATGAGTGAATACAATAATGGCATGCTTTGCTAGTTCATTTCCAAGTATTCTTGTCAACTCCTCCAGCTCTGCAGTAATTGAATGATCAACTCTTTGATATAACTTGTGACATATAAGGACAGCATCAATCTTTTTCACGTTTGCAACTATAGCATCAGCAATCTCTCTGTCACTATTAGTGGTGTCACCAAAACCTTGAGTATCAAACAGCACTACAGGAATAGTATGGTGAATTTCGGCTGGATCTAACTCGTGATCAAACTTCATTACAAGCGATTCATGCTGAGTTGGCTTAGTGTCATCACCAACTATTGCCAAATTATTATTACCAGCAAGTTTATTGATTAAAGAAGACTTTCCACTTCCATTGTATCCAACAACAAGAATCCTTGCACCAATTTTAAAATTGGATGATGCCATCATAACAATCGTGTTATTTGTAGAATGAGTAATCTACAACTGTCTTTATCTTATATGTAGCCTGATCATCTATGAAATGATTGTGACTAGATCTATATATAGTCACAATTAGTCTCGCCACCCAATTCAGGCCACCTGTTTTGTACGTATGGTAATATTTATGGTCACTATCCCAGCATCAAAAAATTTGTGGGGGAGTTCACATGCCCAGAAGAATTAAAATGACCATATAAGGACAAAATAAAATAAACTACATGACATCAACCTCATATTACTTGCATGGCACAGAGTTTATTATTTAGGGTGGTCACTAATGGATTTTAAATTATTGGCAGGTAACCAATAGCAACATGAACCAGCCTATGCCTCCCGTTTCCAATCCCTTTCAGTTGCTCTATCTATGTGAACACTCATTTAACCTGACCCTTTCATTGAGGAAGGGGCTGGCTACACGTGACTAATATAGATACTCCTCACCAGCATGGTATATTATATACATATTTAAATGACATTGCTGCTTTCATCATATCAGCAATTTTCCTGTGGTCATATTACAAAACCTACAGTATCACAATATATGATGGACTATCTCCATTTCCGGTGGGTTTCAATTTAACAATGCCTAAGAAGAAACAGCAGGATTAGATTACGTGATCATTTAAAATTTTTTTCAAGGGAGAGGAAGGAAGAAAAGATTGAAAAGAAACTCTATAGTCTGGAGACTCAGACTAGAAATTACAAATTTGAGTCATCATTTTTATACTAACTGGTTCTTCATGCTGATATTATCCTATCGTTGTTTTTATTTCATTTACAATAGTGATTTGGAGTCACCAGATCAGTCCCTCAATGGTCTATTGTTAAAGTATTCAAGAGTGTCTGTGTCTCAAGGGAAAAAACTTATAGTGCTAAACTAACTGCACTGTAAGTTCTATGTGATAATAAAGATAATAGTGATAATCAATATTGATTATTAGAAAAACAGTTATACAAAATTACAACTAGACTACTATTATAATTTTAGATCACACAGTCACATCCAAAATCTTATGAGTTTTGTTTGCCTTGCCCACACTTTGACTAGTTCTTTAAGTGTTTGTCACTTTTGCTTTTATTGCAGTACCTACTGTACCACCAATTCCACCAATTCCAGCCCCAGAAACTGTACCGACTGCAGCACCACCAATTAAACCACCAACTGCACCAATTGTAGCACCAGCTGCAGTACCAACTCCTGGTACTAGTATGACAGCAGTACCGATCAATGCACCAAATGCTGCTCCCCCTGCTAAACCTCCTACCATACTAATGACACCACCTCCTACACCACCTCCAATTACTAAGCCTTTCTTTTTCATGTCAGATCTGTGCCTGTTGAACCAGCCAATAAATTTTGCAGCCTCCGGTGTACATTTACTTTCACACTTTTGTCACAAATCGTTGATCCAATTGCCAGTAGGCAGGTCATCTTGATCAGCACTTGTAATGCAGTATGGAATGTTGTCACCTATTTCTTGTGAGATACCCAGAGAAGTTAGGATTTTCACAATGTTTTGTTTCATTCCTTCTGCTTGAGCTCTCATTTGTCTTGTAATGTCATCATTAGTTAGATCTGCAACTGGTTTAGGTCTGCAACGAATTATATATTCATCTCCACAAGTGAATACAAAGATAGCTTTCTTCATTAGTTTACTTCCAAGAATTCTCACCAATTCCTTCAGTTCTTCAGCAACTTTGCCATCGACTCTTTGATATAACTTGTGGCATATAAGAACAACATCAGCTGTTTTCACAATGCCTACTATAGATTCAGCAATTTGTCTGTCGTCAGAAGTTGTGCCACCAAAACCTTGAGTATCAAACAACATTATCAGCTGATTGATAGGCCCACCATCTTCTGCATTTTCATTTGCCTGTATCTGAAGGTGATGATCAAGGCCAATTGCAGCTGCTTCATGCTGAGTTGGTAATAAGCTATCACCAACTTTTGTCAAATCGTCATTATTAGCAAGTTTATTGATCAAAGAAGATTTCCCACTTCCATTGTAACCAACAACAAGAATCCTTGCACCAACTTTGAAATCACATGATGCCATTATGGTTTGTTGCCACAAACTTATACACTCAGTAAAAGCAAGCTGGGAGCAACACTATAAGCCAAGTCATGATGGCGTGATTGACTTATAGACTACTACATATTGTCATAGTAATAGTATAGATAAAATTTTGATAATAGTTTTGATACAAAAAGTGTTACATTCAATGTAACTATGGGAGCTTGCATTAATGCATGCCATTAGTTTGTACAGCAGTAGAGCCTTGCTGGCCAGACCATTCCCCAGCCTACACTCAATTGGGTGGACGGTGGGGAATGAAATTATTTTAGCTGTAGTTTCAAAATTCTATTATAGTATTTATTTAGTAATCACTAAGTCAGCGATTGTGCCTGTAGACTGCTGAGTATAAATAAGTTTTATAAATTTATCAGCCCCTCAATGGTCTATTGTTAAAGTATTCAAGAGTGTCTGTGTCTCAAGGGAAGAAAACTTACAGTGCTAAACTAACTGCACTGTAAATTAATTTTTCTATTTTACAATGTGATTATTTCAGTGACTCACAACTTTTCTTGTGTATGCCGCTTACATGCTTGTTGAAAAAAACTTGCTTTCATTTTCAGTTGACAGATCTTTATGTATATTTTAAAAAGAAATAGTTATAAGTTATAACAAAAAAATCAGCAGAATTTTCAGTCATTGATGTTATTTAGAAGTCCTGCTGAAGCGAACCCTAATCCTAATCCAGCACCTGTGGCTGCACCAGCCAAAGAACCAATTCCTGGCCTGATTAAAGTACCTATTATGCCTCCAATAGTAAATGATCCAACAACAGATGCATTCAATATTACAGCTTTTGCTAATTGCTTAGTAGCCCTTCTTAATATCAAGCTAACAAAACCTTTAGCTTCAGGAGTGCAACGCTTCTCACAAAGATCCCACAACTCTCTAGTCCAGTCATCAGATGTAGGTAGTGCATCTTCACGTCCTGATGTGATGCACCAGGGAATATCTTCAACTATTTCTTGCTTGATCAGGCCAGTAGACAGTAAAACTTTTTTCCAGGCCTCCATGACTTTAGATGCACGATCCTCCATTTCTGATTTAACTTCGTCATTATTTTCACTCTTGACGTAAAGAGGATAGTGATCTCCTTTAGTAAAGACAAGAATGGTGTGCTTCATCAAATCATTCCCAAATATTTTTGCCAACTCCCCAAGTATTTCTTGAACTGTTCCATCAACTTTTTCATACAATCTATGACATATCAATATGACATTTGCTTTCTTCATTTTTACAGCCACAGCTTCAGCAATCCTCCTATTTCCAATGGTCATATCATAAAAGCCTTGAGTATCACAAAAAGTGATTGGTATATCACCATTAGGTGTGGAACAAACACACTCCAATTCCATAAGAGGTTTTTCATGTTTTGTTGGAGTGACATCATCACCAACCTTAGCTAAATCATTCTGACCAGATAGCTTATTAATCAGTGAAGATTTGCCAGTGTCATTGTGCCCAATGACAAGAATCCTTAGAGGAGTTGGGGGTGAACCAGTTGGTGATGCCATTTCTTGCAATGATCCACCAAAGCCTGGAACCAGGGGGTGGAATGAACAATAGCATTCATATATCTATGCTCATGTGAGCATTAGAGCTATGATTACCAATTTGGCATTATAGACTAATTAAGCATGATAAAGCTCACTGATCAGTTATTATTTAATAGTTACTATTTTATTATTATTATTGTTACCACATAGTCTGGGAACAAAACAACTCACTAAAAGTTGTACCTAATCACCACATGACTAGCAAAAAACTACCTTAAAGTGACTTTTAATTGTTGGCTTTACTATTGGAATAAAAATTCCAAATTGCGTAATCATTTTAATAATTTACTAATTGCAATAATTTATTATTCACAAAATCTATTGAGAGTTAAAATTGCAATATTTTGTACTCATAATTAAAATGTGCCTGTAATTAAAAGTTAGTCTAACACTTTTAATTAATAAGCAAAACAAAAAATCTACACAAACAAAAACTTAAAAAGAGATTATAGAATAGAATTGACATTCTGTTCATTCATCAAAAAACAAAATAAGTAAGATTTGTAGCAATGATATTCAATAATGACCGTCTCCACTCAACCTTTTCAGTATTATGTTTTTGATGAATAAACAGTAATCTTTTTGGCTCCAAAAAATGATTAAGTTAGGATCTTTGATACTCCTTGTCCTACAAAAATCCCTACACCAGCACCTGCTGCTATACCAGCTGCTGTGCCCGGCCTTCCTCGGTTAACAAAAGGACCTCCCCCTGCTGAATCAACGAAAGTACCTATCACACCACCTATAGTTGTTGTACCAGCAACTATTGTAGCTTGAGCGATTTCAACAGCATGCCTTCTTATCCAACCAACAAAACCTTTAGCTTCAGGAGTACAACGCTCTTCACAAAGATCCCATAATTCTTTAGTCCAGTCATCAGATGTAGGTAGTTTGTCTTCATGTCCTGATGTGATGCACCAGGGAATATCTTTAACTATGTCTTCCTTGATCCCAGTAGACAGTAAAGCTTCCTTCCAGGTCTTCATGAGTTCACTTGCATGTGCAACCATTTTAGATTTAATTTCATCATTTTTACCATTGACGTAAGAAGGATAACAATCTGCTTTAGTGAAGACAAGAATGGTGTGCTTCATCAAATTATTTCCTAAAATCCTTGCCAACTCCCCAAGTATTTCTTTAACGGTTCCATCAACTCTCTCCTCAAACAATTTGTGACATATTAATATGACATTAGCTTCTTTCATCTTATCAGCTACACTGTCTGCAATCGTCCTATTTCCAGTGGTCATATCATAAAAGCCTTGGGTATCACAAAAAGTGATAGGTAAATTGCCTTTAGGTGTGGAACAAGTACATGTCAACTCCATGAGTGGCTCTTTGTGCCTGGTTGGTTTTATGCCATCACCAACTTCAGCTAAATTCTGACCAGAAAATTTATTGATGAGTGAAGACTTGCCAGTGTCATTTTTACCGATGAAAAGAATCCTCAAATGAACCTCAGGCGGATTCACAACTGGTGAAGCCATCAACTTATTCGCAGTACAGCAACTGACAGCACTCTCGAGTACTCAGCAACACCGTCACGTAAGAAAAATTCTGTGGTTTAAGGGGTGGAAACTAGATTTTGAGCTATGATAATAGGACACTATTTATTTATCGCAAACTAAATTTTCTAATCAAAAATGCCAAATAAACTCAATTGACATAATATTTGTGGTTTAACTGGTTTGCATAAGTTTGGGGCAAAACTAACTTTTTGTGTGTAACAGACAAAACTAGAAAGCTACTAAACCTAAGGCTCACGTGATCATTTATTTATTCAGTACAATAACTAAGTCTTTTTTAATGGTTAATAATTATAATGCACCGAAAGGGAGAGAGATTTTATAGGGAGAAAAAATTTACAAATCTGAGTCGTCATCATCATAGAGTTCACTGATCAGTCTGTACACATAAGAGGGGGCATTACCACCACTAGAGGGTCAGAGAATATTAAAAAATATAGGAACCCTGAGGTAAACTCACATATTAGAAATAAATAAATTAATTAGATCGGGAGGGACGTAGTCGAATACAGGATTCTGTACATGAACCTTGGATACTAGGTCGGCCTCAGTAAATCCCAGTATATCATGAGGTGACACTATCTTGTTAAATGTATCCTGCAAAAAAGCAAAGGGTCTGGTAATATCAAATGAGTACAAGGGGTCCGGAAGTATTAAATAAGTGCAAGGGGTTTGGTAATATTGTATGAGGGCAGGACCCATTATTACTTGGTCGTATGAGCAGAGAAATTTTGGAGAGAGTTTGAACATGGCAGCACAAACAATAACCTAAAATTATAAAAAATTAAAAAAATATATTAACTCTCTCTTCTCTCTCTCATACTGGAACTGAGTGATGCTTTGCTGCTAATGTTAAAGCATGTGCTCCATTTAAAGCTTTTAATCTACAGCCAAAAACATAAAAAATAAAATTAAAAAAAAATACAAAATTTAACTATTAATATAATAACTAGTTCTCTCACCCTCCATCAGCCATTACTGTATGAGTTCCGATTATCACCTGTGGTGGGTGTGGTCAAAATGTAAGAAACCACGCCCACAAAACATACCTTATTAACTCTTGACATCAGAGCAAAAACTGCCGAGTCGGTAATTACGGTCGTTTCGATTTTTGCTTCAGCTAAATTACGAGCTAGTTTTTGACCCTGTGGTATAGTAGGCGTGGTCAATGGGTGTGCTTAAACATTACTTGATAAGAGGGTGATGATTCCGCTACAATCACTTGAAATTTTCTCTTTCTAGCAGCACCTAAAATAAAAATCAGAATCAGCTCAAAAATTTTAAAATACATACTAAGATACATGGAGCATATCTGTATCAAAAAATGTTACAAAATAAAGGAGTATTTGTTGGGCCTTGGGTATTTTTCAAAATTTTGGCATTTTCTTAAAATGGCCGTAACTCGAAAAATATTTGTCGGAATCAGCTCAAACTTTCTACATAGTGTAAGGACATCAATATGCATCAGAAAATGCAATAAAAATTTGGGGTGATTTCGGAGCCATTTTTTGGAAAAAACCATGGGCTATAGCCTTGGGTACTTTTCAGAATTTTGACGTTTTCTTAAAATGGCCATAACTCGAAAAATATCTGTCGGAATCAGCTCAAACTTGCTACACAGCATAAGGACATCAATATGCATCAAAAAATGCAATAAAAATTTGGGGTAATTTCGGAGCCATTTTTTGGAAAAAAACATTCTTCAGAAATCAGCCAATTTTTTTAAAATGGCCATAACTCAAAAAACTTCATTAGTAATTAGCCAAAAAACTTTCTACATGTACATCTAGCTGAATATAATACAATATTACCTTTAAGAAATGCTTCTACTGTTTTAGAATGCCCTGACGTCATAATGACCTCATTGGAATGAATGTGATCCAATGCTTGTGCTGCAATATTGGATGCACTGAAAGAGGGAGGGGCTTAAAACAATGAATAATTAATTAATTACCTTTCTTCCATTTCTCCTAATAATTCGTGTATGGCTTCAATGACAGCACCCTAATTAATTATTCATTATTATTAATGACTCCACCCACTATTACTTTTAAATTAGGAACAGGCTTTGATAGATCATCGTAATCTTCACCTCCTTTTAGCATAGTCTGTATTTCTAATTAAAGAGCACCAGATAACCACACCTACTTACATGTAACGAATCCTTGAGGTCCATGCTCTCAGAATCAGATCCTCTCAGACACCTACGAGTTGCTATGGTAACGAGACGTAATTAAAATACGAGTACCTTACAAGTTCTTCGCGAATAATTTTAAGAACTAAAAATTAATTTAAAAAAATAATAACATATATTAATAATTATTATCATACCTCTTCTGACCATATTACACACAACATTTTCTTTAAAAATTAATTAAAAATTATACAATTAAAATATTAATTCCTCTTACCCCCGGCTTGAGCTGTAATGATTCTCTTCCCATCCTCCCTCACCCTCTCCATTAGCTCCCTATAAACAATAAACCACGCCCACAAGTACAATACATCTACCTAGGATTGGCCCATTTTGATTTTGATATTATATCTCTTAGTAGTAGGACCGTTTTCTGAGCTAAATCGTAAGTACTCGTGAATCTAAAAATAATAGTTAATAGTACAGGAGGTATTAGTGGAGCCATTACTTCTTTTGAATTAAATATGTGAGAAAGATTTGGACTTTTTGTTCCACTTCTTCGGACGCCATTTTGTATTGTTTAATTAGAAAATGTAAAACTTTCACCTCAGTTTTGAAAACTAATACGGTACTTTATTCAACGCCCACTCATAGAAATTAATCATTGTGAAAAGTGCATAAAATTAAAAAAATAATAATAATATTATTAAGTAATATATTGCTCCAGGTAAAAAATAAATAATATAAAACCTTCCTCCACTCTTTCTCTATCTCTACACTCATCGTATCACACTCCACAGTTCAGTAATGAAGTCAGGAGGAAATTGGAAATGACCCAGTGAACTTGAAGATGCGACAGTTTCAATAAACTCATCAACACTGCTCTTATCCCGAGCTAAATCAACAATAACATGAGCTACAGAAATAAAAAAAGAGATAAAATACTTCTACAAAGACTATAAAAACTAAAAAATAAAATTCTAAATTGACCGGTATTCAAAACTAGTCAAACAGGCTTACCTAACTGGTTGTCTCTGATTCCCATGAAACTCTCCAGTAGATCGTCCACTCTCTCTACAGTTTGCTTAGTCCATGAAGTCATCTATTAATAAAACCATGCAATCATGTGACAATCTTGGGATGATCATGTGACAATCTTGGGATGATCATGTGACAATCACGTGATGATCATGTGACAATCATGTGACAATCATGTGACAATCATGTGATACTTACTGCTTCTTCTATCAATGCTTGTCCGTCCGACTTTAGTCTGAGGGTTGGAGGTCTCTCAGTGTTAGAGGAGGAGGAGAGAGAGGCAGTGTCAGAGACAGAGGAAGAAGGATCGTCTAATAGTTTTGAAACCGGCTTTGGGTTAGACTGACCTAGTCCTCTTGGAGCAACAGCTGAAAAAAGAGAAATGACAAAATTTACATGCACATTAAAAACATTGAAAAAAGAGAAGAAACAAAAATAATACTAAAATGCATAATAAAATGTATGTATATTATATTTGTTGCATACCAAATGCTTTTCTTGGTTCCACTAGTGTCATATCAAAACTATAGTATCTCGGAAGTTCTTTTAACAATCTTGCAACCTCGTAGTGTCTGACTCCAATGAGACTCCGCCCATCAATGGATACAATCATGTCACCAACAGCAACATCAGGAGACCGAGAGGCCACACTCCCTTCTCTTATTCTTTTAATAAAAGCATTACCAGCTCCATTATCAGTGATGGTGAGACCGAGTGAGGTTTCTTGTTTCGTTAAAGTGATGTTTTTAGTTTCTCCCTTTATGTGAGTGAATATGAAGTCATCCAAACCAATCTGACCTCCTAGCAGCCTTGACATGTCTATCTTTGGAGTATTCAATGTACAGAATATAATCTAGAGGGAAATGAAATATTTTTCGCAATTAAGTTGTTCCTAAACAACCTGTTGACACTAGAATCAAACTACAAGTTTGGAAATTATGGTTGGAATTTTTGCTAAATAGAATAGATTACTAGTGTTAATCTGCAGTCGTATATGCATGCCATAATTAAAGCTAGAAGACTGTGTTTTATAAAAAGTAATATAGGCCTGGGTTAGCTCACACTTCACAAGCAATCAAAAAAACACTTTTAAAAATAAAGTTTATTTGAATTTCAAACTTACATCCGAAGGCTCCAGCTCAAAAGTGGATGCAATTTTAGCGTAAAGCTCCTTAACATTTGAAAAGTCTTTGATATCCTGAGTGGAGCTCCCATGGGCCAACTGAGCATGAAAGACCAGTTCTCGTCTTGGAGGAATGGGACGATGAGAAGAGGAGGAGGGAGGGAGGGAAGAGGTAGGAGGAGGAGGGAGAGGAGTGTGGTGGGGTCTGTCACTATCTTGCAATGGCCTTCTCTTGAACATGACTATTGGAAAAAAGCAAGAAAAACATAGGCTAAGTGTAGAGAAAACAGCTTTAAAAGTGTTTTTAATGCTTGCTTTATGAAGCATTTTTGTTGTTTTTAGACTTGCAAAAGCTCTTACCTTTTTCAAATGCTGCAAAACAGCGAGTAGGAGGTCTTTAATGTACAGAGGATGGTTGCATTTGAGAGAAGTATAGTCGAGCTCTCTCCTCCACCAAATGTTATTGTTGGGGGAGGGTCTGAAAGAAATATTTTCCGCTTTTTATTAGATCAGAGCTCAATATATACGGTATTATGAGAAGTGGAATTTACGGATTTTGTAACATTGCCTTTGGTTTATAGTTTCCGGATATAGAGGACCTAGTTTACTGAGAAGAGCCAAACGTCCACGGAATATGATCCAGCTCCTAAGGGACAGGAGGGCGGGGCTTGAAGAGGAATGGACACTCCCCAAGGTCTACGCTACCCACAAATGGACTCAACTATCACTGAGCAGGAACAGAGAATTTGAAAGATCACATGACAACGGAATTACATCAATGCAACTAGACCACACCTCCCAAAGATAGTAATTACAAATTAATTTATTTATTTATGTACATGTATACATGCATTTATTATAACAATTAAAAATTATTATTATTATCGTCTTTCTGACTCCGCCCTTTTCTCTCAGTTTATTGTCAGGTACAACCGATGGCTCCATTTTCATTCAAGACACTCGTTATCAAGTGGGCGTGGCTCGTCAAACCTGTCCTACAGTTGCATTCAATCGTGGAAGGTACTAAAAATTAATTATCAAATAATTAATTAAGTGACATGCCTTCTTTTTATAGCACCACACCCTCATCTCACACTCACAGTATATCAGAGCTGAAGTGGTACCCTCATGATACTGGGATCTTTACCAGTTCCTCGATGGATAAAACCTTAAGAATATGGGATACTAATGAGATGTGTGTGGGTGGACTCATGCACACGAGAATGGGAAAATAGAAACATGGGAATGGGAATTCGAGAATGAGTATTGTGTGGGCATTCTTTGCTACATATGATACTAATTTTATTTCCTTTTTAGGTAGTGGAGAATTTTAAAATGAGTACTCCAATTTATACTCATGATTTAGCAAAAGCAATAAAGCACACTTTGACAGCTGGTGAGGATAAGCAATATTTAAAAATTAAATAACAAATCATTAATTAGTATCTTATTGTTTTCTCTAGTTGGTACCAAAGATGGCATCGTTACCATATGTGATATGAACTCTGGCTCCAGTAGTCATATATTGAAGAGACACAAGAAACCAGTAATGACAGTACAATGGTCGCCTTCTGATGAATACACCCTAGCTACAGGAAGGTAAGTAGAGTTATCTTTGTTATGCACTAGTGATTGTTCATTTTTGTGTCTTTATTATTCTCCTTTTAGTCAGGATAATCAGATTTTATTTTGGGATATTCGTAAGACAAGATGTCCTTTGGTATCGCTTGATCAACACAATGGCAGCCAAGGAAAAAGTAATGGATTTTCAAACAATATACTAGTACAATCATTTTTTTCTTAATTTTTTAATCCTTCTCTCTTCATTCCCCTCCCTCTCTTTCTCTCTCCCTTTCTCTCATAGACTCTACAGCACACAATGGTTATGTATTAGGTCTCCAGTTCACAACTGATGGTCTATTCCTTATCAGCTCCGGATCAGACCAACGTCTTAGACTATGGGATGTATCCTCAACTTCTAACATGCTAGTGAGTAATGGGTGTGGTCAATATGTACCTAACCACGCCTCTTTTAGATTAACTATGGCCGGATCCCTCACTCGTTTAAAAATCAGACTCACCACTTCTCTCTTACTCCTCCCTCTCTCTCCTTCACTCCTCATCTTTTAGTTCCCTCTCATTCTGATGTGAGTATATATGAACTGTTTACTGGTAGAAATGTTAGTAAACTGAAAGGTCATTATAGCAGCGTTACAAGTATTGATGTTAATTCTAATGATATTGAAGTGTATACTGGTAGTACTGATAATACAGTACTGATATGGACTGCTGTTAATAGTATTGAGGTAAGTATTCATTTAGTGCGTGGGTGTTAGCCCAAGGTGCTAACGAGATGTGTGGGTGTTAAAATATAGTTTTGTAGATTTTGCTATTATTTTATTTTTATTAATAATTATTTTCTTATTTTTTTCATAGCTTAATACAGAATCAAAATTATCAAGACAATCAGTGATTTATAATGACACTTGGAGTGATGAAGATTAAACAAACTATTAATTTTGCATTTAGCAACTCATTAGGGCTTGGCAAATTATGCTTGAATTTCTGCCTATTTTGCTTTTAGATGCAGCCTCAAATTTCATCCTATTATGCTTTGAAATAAATCTAATTATAAGCTCATTATATGCTCATAGTTCAAGCTTTACTCAAATATTGACTATCAAGTTACATGTACATGCATCTGTTAAAATTGTAATAATGCCAGAATTTGAAAATTTTTCCATTGATTTTGAGTCTCTGTAATATAGAATAGTCTGAGTCATTGGGGCTCGCCACACTTCCATAGATGGGTACTAGGCAGTGGGGTTGATGTAATATATTTGTACCACCTGCCATATTGAATTGAAATCATGCGGTCAGAGGTATAGGGCAGAAATTTTGACTCATTATGCCAGCATAATAACTTGTACTATTAGAGCATGGCTAGGCAAATTATGCTGCATAATTTGCCTAGACATAATTATTAGCAACTTGCAACGATTTTTATTAATTATTTTCTATCACGTGATCACTGTTCGTGATAATTAATTCAAGCAAGTTATAATAGCAACGGGTATAATTTTCACTGTTGACACAGCTTGGTTGGGCCTCTAGGTGGCTAGTTTGGTTGGCTCTGGGTGGCCACTGTGGCCAGTTTCTGACCAGATTGGTTCAGGGCTTTGGTGCTGCAGGCTCATGGCGCATAAAACTGATAAAAGTAAGTACTCTGCATGTTACTTTTCATCGAGCTTTTCATTAAAATTAATCGTACAGTAGGCGTTCTGTACTTAGGTCGACCGAATAAAAGAGCTTTTCACCGCACTGTATCAGTAGGTGATTCACTTTATGTGTGGGGTGGTGATCAGGCTGGTTTACCTCAAGTACATGATAGCGAAAAGAAGAGAATAATCACTAGTAATATACAACATTTTACTCCTTCAACTGGTCAATGGATCACTAGAAGTACTACTGGTACTCCTCCATTAGGAGTGAAAGCATGCTGCTGTGCTGCAATAAAAGATCGATTGTATTATTTCGGGGGATGGTGTGGCCATGACAGCTGCTATCACAACAGTATTACACAACTGGATACTGTTAGTCTTCAATGGAGAGAATTAGAACCAACTGATGCAACTAGACCAGTTATGAGGAGAGGTCATGGTGGAATGATATCATTTGAACATGATGGAGTACACCATTTACTAATTTTAGGAGGAATAGGATCTAAACCAGCTGTACGGCTACCTCATAATAAATATATTGAATTATATAGTGGAAGATGGCGTACTAATGAGCACTCAATATATAATATATCATCAAGTAACTGTTTGAATTTATGTTAATAGTTTTAACTTATTCATTTAGGAGAATGGAGTAATCCTTCAATCATTGGTCAGTGTATACCACCTGCTAATGCCTTCATCATTGAAAAGATCAACAACACTAGAGCTGTTCTGTTTGGTGGAGCAGAGACTGATGATGCTAAGAGTTCTATTACTAGCAATAATTATATATTAGAGATATCAATCAGCACTGTGGTATGTAACATTGTGTAATAAGAGTGTGTGTATCTACACATAATTAAACATGCAGTATGTATGCCCACACAGAGTCACACACACACATAATTTTATTATGTCATTTTAATGAGTATGGCTATTTTTATTTTATAATTATTACCATAATAATGATAAATTTCGGATGTAATTAAATTTGGCGAATTGGTGTTTTGATAGCCATTTACCAAAATAACAATCCACCAATTTGAGCCATTATTTGCATGCTCAATGGCACATGAACACAAATTCACCAAATTAAAATCCACCAATCACCAAAATTTAGCAATTCGCCTAATTTTACTCCCTAAACAATTTCCCATGCACTATATGGTATAGTTCTGGCAGTGTATAAAGAAACCTGAAGCAATAGACCAATGGCCTGTGGGTAGATGGGCTTATGCAGGTGCTATTATTATAACTGGATCAGACTGTCCTATGCTAGTGATAAGTGGTGGGGAGGATAAGAATGAAGAGACATTAGATGATTGTTGGATCTTTAACATCACTCAACATTCCTGGATAAAGGTATGTACAGTGAGATACATGTAAATTATTAATTTATTTCTATTAACAGTTAGATGTACCTCACTCTGTTAGTAAGAGATGGGGTCATTCTCTCTCAGTGTTCATTATGAGTCCTTATTGTGTTTGGATATTAACTGTTGGAGGATGTGTTGATAAGACAGTGACACGGCACGTCACTGATCCTAACATTGCTATGTTAACTGAATTAGGTCAGTGCAACCATTTAGCCATACCCATAAATGTACAGCCTATACTAGAAGAGTGAAAACGTTTAGGGATTCTGCCCCCTAGCAAACTATCATACCATGATATAGATTAGTTTTTTTAACTTTAAAGAATATTTAGATGATCCTTTACGTGCTAGCATGCCCATATAAAGTACACTTCATCACTAAGGGCTTTGTCCAATAATTAATTTTTAAACTCCATTAGTTCTCAACATTAAAGGAGAGTGGACAGTAGGTGATACATTAGATACCAATGGTATGAATAATGAAGAATACAAGAAGAAGTATCAGCAGCAACTACGGATAGGAAGAAGACCAAGGAAAGAAGATACAGCCAATATTGAGCAAACCATACAAGCTCTTGTAATGAGTCTTGAAGAGAAGGAGAAAAAACTGCAAGAAAAGGAGAAAGAAGCACAAGTTTTTCATCAACAAATGAAGCTGAAGGAAAGAGAAGAAGCAGAGAAAGATCAAGAAATAAGAAGATATTGTCATCAGTTACAAAAGAAGGATAGAGAGGAGGCAGAGAAAGAAAAGAGGCATCATCAGCAGCTTTTACGAGAGAAGGTGAGAAATGAGGGACTGATTTTACTAAAAACTCAAGAAATACAACAATACTGTAATCAGTTACAAGAGAAGGAGCAAGAAATAGTAAGTTATTGCAATCTAATACAAGAGAGGGAGAAAGAGAAGGCAGAGATGGAACAAAGATACTATTGGCAGCTACAAGAAAGTGAGAGAAAGAATTCTTTGAAAGGTGAAGAAATGCAAAGATACCATCATCAGTTACGGGAAAAAGAGCAAGAAATACAAAAATATATTTATCAATTGCAAGAAAAAGAAAGAAAGGAGGTACAGCAAGATCAAATAATACAAAGATGTTATCAGCAGTTACAAGAAAAGGCAGTAAAAGAGCAAGTAACACAAAAATATTGTGAAAAATTGAAAGAGGAGGCAGAGAAGGAAAAAAGACATTGTCAAGAACTACGAGAAATGGAGGCAGTAAAAGAAAAAGAAATACAAAAATATTGTCAAGAGTTACAAAGGAAAGAAAAAAAGGAGGCAGAGAAAGAGCATCAGTTACTGGAGGAACAAAGGTTAAAAGAGAAATATTTTCAACAGTTGCAGCAGAAAGAAAAGGAGCTTGCAGAAAAGGAGCAAATGATACAAATATATTGTCAACAGTTACAAGACAAGGAGAGAGAGGAAGCACAGAGAAAGGAATATTATAGCCATGAGATACAAGAGAAAAAGGAGCTAGAAAAGGAGATCCAAAGGCTTAATCAACTGTTGCAAAACAAAGACGAGGAACTAATTGAAAGAGATCAAAAATTGAAGGAGCACCTGCAGCAAATACAACAGTACAAGCATCTGAAAGATGTAAACATTCAAGAGGAAGAAACAAAAGCAGGTCAAGGCAAAGTTCAGAAAATCAAGTTGCTTCATTCTTCAGAAGGTATGCATACATGATGTATATATAGTATTTATATTACTATATTTAGAAGTTAAAGAACTTCAAGAAGATGTAAAAACTGCTCAAAAGGAAGGTAATAGCAAAGGAAATGAAATGCATGAATCAATTCAAGGTATACTAGTTTATGTCTGTATGTTAATACAGAATGGTTATAGGTTGTAACAATGATTTCAGCACAATACTTGATGAAAGAGTTGTTGAAAGTGTAACTGAAGGTATTACTTAAATATGATTATAAAATCATTATATTATATTTATATAGATGAACTTAAAGGTGTACATGTTGCTGCAAAAAATTCATTTCTTATTCATGGTGGATCTACCCAGTCAGTTAATTGGGAGGAATATGGTATAAGGATAACAGTACCACAAGGAGCAGTGCTACCCTCTGATACTGTTAAAATAACCATTGCTGCTCTTGTAGGAGGAGATTTTATATTTCCAGAAGACACTGAGCTTGTTAGTGCAGTATATGCTATAAATACCTCTAAGCCTTTCATTGAACCGATTAAACTGGAGATACAGCACTGTGTCTCCATAGAAACATCTTCTCACTGTAATTACCTTAGTTTTTCTACTTCAACTAATAATCAGCCACCCTACCAGTTTGATACAGTAGATGGTGGGGACTTTTTTATTGGCAACAGATATGGTGGTATCTGCACTGCTACATTCTCTAAGTATTGTATTAAAACATACTCAGGAAGACGTTATCAGCCATATTCAATCCCAGGCCCTTCATCATCACGTGCAAGATCACATACTCTTTCTTCATCTTTATCATCATCTTTTGATGGACCATGTTCAACATCTTTATCATCTTTTAATGATGAATTGCATTCTTCAAGTTCTTCACTAACTTTTGAATTGCCACATACACTTTCAACAAAAAATGAAATAACTACACTGGCAGGTATAAGCATGTATATTCACATATTAATGATTTTATCTTTAATTTATTGTAGATAAACCACCTATTAAGTGTTACCATAGTCAAGTGGTGTATCAAATTAAGAGGCAAGGAAGGGAATGGTTGATGAGATTTCTACTTTCTAAAGATCTTAATGCACTAATAGAGGTATTGATATCATCTTTCTGTCACTGCTACTTATTATTTTATTCATACATGCAGTATATTAGAAAAGCATTCAGAAATGTTGAAAAAAGTATTGAAGTATCTTTCCAGTTTAAGGATGAAGATGGATTCATTGAGTTATGCTTTGATGATGAAAAATGTCCCAAAGGATGGTCAGTTAGACCTCATCAGGATCCTACAAGAGTAAGCACTTATAATACTAATGTACTATATATTTCTTATGATTACAATAGGTTAGGCAGATTGTTATTGATGAATATGGCAGCATGTCTCCTCCTCGTTTTCCAGAATGCCTCATTACAATCTCAGCCACACCTGGTGAAGGTGCAGTTAAGGAATTAAGTTATCCTGTCACATTACAAGGAATTAAAAAATCTAATTTTGAAAAAATAAACATTGTATTAACAATGGGTTAGTGTTATTATTACATAAGTTAGTCTCTAAAGACCATATAGGTGACATCCAGCAGGCATCTGCAGGCACTATTGCTTCAAACTTAGGGCAAATTTTTTCAGGTAATATTTCCCTTGCTTGATTTAGTTCTGTTACCATAATTATAGATGATGAGGAGAGCAAATCAGTTGGAGAAGTTCTACGAGAAAACTTTGATACACTTTCTGACATCCTGGCAGCTCCAAATAATCTTTCAGCGATCATCATGAGCTTATATGCAAAAAAGCTAATTTCTGATACTACTGCAACTGAGTGTATGAATGATGGTAGACCAGTACATGATAGATGTGCTTCATTACTGTTTGCTCTTAAAGCTACCATTGATGGGAAACCTCAGGCAATGAATACTTTAATTGAAGTATTGAAAAATAATGAAGCGTTTAAAGAAATTGCTGATAAAATGGACTTGGAAGTATCATACCGCAATTATACAAACCCTTAGAGATTTAGTTGCAGCTTGATTAATAATACTGTTTGTATTTTTCAATAGTTTTTGTGATTTTAATTTTTTAATGTCTTTTTGAGTAAAAGGAAGTAAGTATTCAATCGGTGCATGGTGCAAACAAGATGCATGGGTATTAGCTGCAAAGTGCAGTGTTTTTACTGTTTTACTTATGTTATTCTGAATTTGCACCATGTAGCTAAGATGCATGATTATATTTATTTATTTATGCTTAGATTAATACAGTATCAAAGCTATCAAAACAATTGGTAGTTTATAATGACACTTGGAGTGATGAAGATTGCCTATCATTACTATCAGTTGTACAGTAATACTATTACTTTATCATGATTTTATGGGCAGACACTGAATTGAATTGAATCAAGAGCCCCTGATTTCAAATTTTTGAATGAACTTGAACGCCGGACTGAGCACGCCTACGCGGAAGCCTTCAGCCATTATTTTATCTCATATTGATGTTGCTTAGTGACTTCCAACTTCTTGGGACCAACTACTCACATGAATATTCTTGATATTAAGCGGCGGAGAGGCGCAGGCTATGGTGTAAGCGAGGAGAAGCTATCTCGTAAGTCACGGTCCAGTGATCGTCATTCTGTTATTATTTTAATACTGTAGATCAACTGAATGGAAGAGCCACACACTGCGCTGTATCAGTAGGTGATTCACTGTATGTGTGGGGTGGTGATCAGGATGATTTACCTAAAGTACATGATAGTGAAGAAAAGACAAGGATCACTAGTCATGTACAGCACTTTACCCCTTCAAATGGCCAATGGGTCACTAGAGATACTACTGGTAGTCCTCCATTAGGAATCATTGCATATTGCTGTACTGCAATAAATGATCTATTGTATTATTTTGGGGGATATTGTAGCCATGACATATGTTGTCATAACAATCTTACACAACTGGATACCGTTAGTTTTCAATGGACAGAATTAGAACCAACTGATGCAAATAGACCAGTTATGAGGAGAGGTGATGGTGGAATGATATCATTTGAGCATGATGGAGCACGCCATTTACTAATGATAGGAGGACTAGGATGTAAACCAGCTGTACAACTACCTCATTATAAATATATTAAGTTCGC